GGCACTATGAACGGCTCATGCATTGGTGTTTTACAGGCAATGTAGCAAAAACGCCTTGCGTTGTAAGCAGTTCTTCGTTGTGGGGTTCCTTTTCCGTGGAGCAATGTATGCATGAACGTTCTCCATGGCTGCAGTTTGTCAACAGTGTGGCGCCTTGGCACGCCAATGATTAATATGCTGTTATTTTATGGGTGGTGTACACTCGGTCATTATTTGTAGGGGTTGGCTACTTGCTTATAAGTGTGGGTTTTAGTTATGAACATGCTGAATCTCACAGCACATGTAAAATGATTAGTGAATAGGTTCAAATAATATTGTTTTCCCGCATAAAAAGAACTTTGGTTCGTAGCATAAGTTTTATCATTTTGCACATTTAACACAACAAGGATGTGTGATTGGTTCATCTACAAATCTAAGGGTACGTGTGTATTTCATTCTATTATTGAATTAAATTTGTACACAATCTTTTTAGTAAGGTTTTTTAATAATGTAAGTTTAGCTGAACTAATACAATAACACTAAATATATCTTCAGAAACAACTTATACTTTAATAAATGACCTCGACATTGGTGCTAGCTCTCATCTTCAGAGCATCACCAGTGTATAGAGGCAACCCTGCCTCTAAGGTAGGTCTCACATGGTTTGCCTCTGCCCAAATGGAAAAGCTCACGGTGTATTGAGACTCCAACCAGCCTCTAATGGAGACCTAGCAGAAATTTAAAAAAAATAAACTAATTAGAACCACAATTATCCAAACCAACTACCTCTCCTAGACTTTCTCTCACTGACAAGTGGGACCAGTTTGATTTGTTTAGTTGTTGAAGGCAGCCTCTAAAGTTGGAAGCGGCACTAGCTATTTTTGCATTAGAGTCAAGTAGTGCAGTGTATAGAGGTTGCCTCTAAGAGAAGAGATAGGGCTTTGAGGTAGCAATATTCATACACTATGGATTTTTTTCTCTCAGTATTGAACAATCCATATGTGGCCTTACTAAAAGTTTAAAGTGTGGTACTATTTACAATACAAATAAAAGAGGCAATTCCGGAAACAGATAAAAATGCATATAATTATGTAATTGTGACCCATCGTTTTCCCAATGAACCGACTTGGATAGTAAAATTTCCTAATCGATTGAGAACCCAACTTAGATAAAATAAATATAATTGATCTCCCTTTTCATACAGATGTATCAAGTAACCACCTCTGCAAAGCATTTTAAACTGGTTTGTAATATGTTCTTATGTAGTAAGAGATTGACCATTCTAACTTGAACTCCAATCTTCATTTCCTTGTAAATACTTAATTTGTAGTTGCAATCACATGTAGCCTACGAATATACATTTGGATACACAACTTGAAACATATCAAATTTGTATCACATAATCCACATATTTATCTAAATACTAGTTAGTGAAAATGATTTAATTTGAACAGTGAGATGGTTATAGACCTAGGTATTGTTTGGCTGAGCTTTTAAAAGGCCGATCCTAACAACCCAAGCCTGGCCTAGCCTGGCCTTAAAATACATTATTCCATATTTAAGAAGTGCTATTTAAATGCATTATTTTAATTATTTTTTGGGTCTATAAGTACATTATTGCAGCTATATTTCTATTAAAACCATATATTGGAACTATTCGGGCTTCCAGGCATCAAAATTATCATCATTAGATTTCTCATGATCTTCTTTTTTACTACAGTTAATAAATAAATATGTCAAAGTTGCATCACAAATATTTGTATCAGTATCTTAAACCATGTATTTTGATATTGAAGGAATGTGCTTTTAATAGTTTGTTATTCGAGGGGCATTATACCATTGTTATTTATTTTGGGCATGTCGACTAATTGCACAAAGGTGGTACATCTCAGCTATTTCCAACTGGATTTAGTTAAGTATGTGTGGAGTTAGTTATCATTTTTCAATCATAATTACAATTATTTGGATGTGTGGGTCCCAACAGAAATAAATGTAAACCCTACTTGCGGAGGATTGTTGGGTTTATCTTTCATTATGTTGTGTTCAAATATTAAGTTATACAGTCGTATTATAGGTAGTAGACTGTATTCATGTTAGGATTTACCACTCATCGTCATAAATTTGCATGTTCATACACATCTCTAGATGTGCTCTAGTTATTGCACATCTAAGTGAGTGAATCAAGCATAAAGAGGAAAAGAATAAAGAAAAAAAATATCTACACGAATCTCAACATAAGATCAATGACATAGGACTTAGATATGCAATACTTATTGCACATCTAGATGTGCTTTAGCAAAACTGTTTTAGTAATTCTTTGTAAAACGTAAAACTACAAAGTTAATTCTTTGTAAAACGTAAAACTACAAAGTTCTTTTTGACGGAAATAAAAAACTGTAATGTCTTATACATGTAATCCAGGGTATTATTTTTACCAATTGCTCCGTTCTAGTTCTTATGTCCAATAGAAGATACGGTAGGTAAAACCGCTGCTGGCAGATATGATTGATCAAACAGTCCAAAATGGGTATACCCTATCCGCTACAGTAAGATGTATGTATACGTACTACGTACAGATCAGATGCGGAGCGAAACCACAACAGCGTATGTAAGGCAGAGAGAGGATAGCGATCCGGCAGTCTCTACTGTAGCTACATCAGAAGACAAGAGCTCAATTATGATTTTTTTTTTGGAACGAAGACGCTAGACGCGTCCGACTTTAAATTAATAAAGCCACTTAAGCAGCATCCAAGGTTTGCACGCCACATACCACACATAACACCACAGTCTCAATAGGCTACAACAGCCATGCACGCCATAATGAAAACAACAAACTAAGAGGGGACCCGACCCACTCTAGCTCACAAACAAGACCCTAGAGGAACAAGATACGCTTCAATTCGCTTGCCGCAGCTTGGGATACATGTAGCGATCTTCTCCATAGTGCTCTTCAAATGGTCTGCATCACCTTGCTTCCCCAGCGGTGCCCAACTCTGTAAAAATAAATGGCATTTGAAGATAACATCAGTAGGATTGGAAGGAAACTTATGTTCCATAGTCATTTTATTACGCACAGTCCAAAGGGACCAGAGTAAGGCCCCTACGCAGGTCCACAAGATCCTGGCCTTGGCACCCCTCTGTACCTGTAGAATAGCCAGCAGCTCAGACCCAGTGCTAGGATTCCAATTCTGTTGGAAAACCTGTCGCACCGCGCTCCAGGCAAAGCGGGCCAGAGCGCATTGGAACATGGCGTGGTTCGCGTCCTCTAGCGACTCACATACCACGCACGTCCCGTCCGAAGGCCCATTACGTTTAGCTACGTTCTCCGCCGTCGGAAGCCTATTGCGAAATAACTGCCACATAAAGATCTTAATCTTTAACGACACCCTAGCCTTCCAAAGGTTCCTGGCAGTATCCAACGTAGTGCCCTCTGTCAGCTTATTGTAAAGGGACTTCACTGAGAATTTCCGAGACACGGAGAGGTCCCAAGAAACCGTATCCTCATCTAGATTTACCGAAATTTGTTCCAGCCACGCCTGAAGCAAGCCCCAACTTGCTAATTCCGCTGCATTCAACTGTCTCCGAAAGTTAATCAAAGGTGGCGTAGCGCGAAGAGCCTCTCCCACCCTGAGTAGCGGGTCCGCCGTCACCTGATATAACTGCGGGAACTCCTGTCAAAGCGGCTTGTCACCCAACCAGCGATCCAACCAGAACCTAGTCGAGTTGCCGCTATTCACCTCAAATCTCGCCCCCAGCGAGAAGGCTGGTCTAACCGCCTGGAGCCCATTCCAAAACGGCGAGCCCGAAGCCTTGGCGTTAAATACATCCCCGTCCGGGAAGTATTTGGCCCGCAGAAGGTCTGCCCACAGACCCTCTTCCTTAGCCGCTAGCTTCCACCACCATTTTGATAGCAGCGCCACGTTCATAAGTTTAGAATTAGTGATCCCTAGCCCACCATGCTTCTTAGGTCGGTAGACCGCCGCCCATTTTAACATATGGTATTTCCTTTTGTGACCCGCTCCTTCCCAAAAGAATTTTGAGCGCGGCGTATCTAACTTCCCATGCACCCCATCAGCTAACAAGAACATCCCCATCGTAAAAAGAGGGAGGGAAGACAGGCTCGAGTTGGTAAGAATTAACCGAGCCGCCGAAGACATAAAGCGTCCCCGCCATGGGCTAACCCTATTGGCAACCTTACCATACAGCGGTTCCCATTCGGAGATGGTAAGGTTTTTAGGCGCGATCGGTAGCCCTAGGTACTTAATTGGAAAACTCCCTAGTTTACAATTAAGGAGATTGGCTATTCGGACACGTTCGAGCTGGTCCAATCCCATTATAATTACCTCACTTTTGAGGAAATTAATCTTGAGCCCTGATAGCATTTCAAAAGCTAGGAGGAGCAGCTTGATAGTAGCGATGCTGTGATCATCAGGCTGAAATAACAGCATTGTATCATCCGCGTATTGCAGATGCGTCACCCCCCCTGGGATGAGGTGTGGCACTA